CTCTGAAGAGAGTCTTGAGCTGCTAGAGGGATTCAAAATGAGAGTTTGTTGAGGTAAAGAACGAACTTGAGCTTTAAGTTGGGCCCGAGGATCATAGATAATGGGCCTCTACTGCCCAATTTTATCTTGGGCTTATGGAAACAAAAGCAATAAAGAAAAATAAAACAAAAAACAATAATGTTAGAACCAGTTCTTTTTGTTTTTTTCAATTTGGAGTTTCTTGAACCTGCCGTGAAATCCTAAAGAAACACAAAGTTTTGTGTCGGAGACGGCAATAATAAGATGACGGGGGATCATGACGCGGCTCCGACCGATTCAACAGCAGTCAACGATGCTTCTCGGACAAGGCAAAGGTACCTATTTTCCTTGTTAACAATTCCAGTTTCACCTAATTACATCTGATTAACAAACATTTGTCGTGAAATTGCTCTTGGCAATCGTAATATTCGACCGAGATTGATTTACCTGGATTCCTTGCTTCAGCTAATTTGATTCAGATTTTGAAATTTATATTGTGAATGTCGATTTTGTTCTGTTTGGTTTTAGTAACTATATCCAAAGACACGGTGAAAGCATGTTAAGGCTCATATCTCTAGTCCCTAACAAATTTGCATCTTAGTTGTCAAACTGACGCTGATGAGAAATTGTGCATTGTGTGGCAGGAGAAAGAGAAAGTGGGATCAGCCAGCGGAGCAACTTGTTGCTGCTGCTGGAGTTGCAAATGTGGCTCCATTGTTTTCTTTGGCTCAGCCATATTCATCACTTCCAAATCTTAGTCAAGTAAATAACTCTTACGCTCTTGTGTTTTTGTCGTAGCTTTTGCATTATTACGCACTATGGCGTTGATGATATGTTATCTGAATGATGTCCTGGTGTCGGATTATATGTTTTTTAGTGAACTGCTGCTACCTCCTTAAGATTGTCACACCACTTTGTCCTGTTTCCTCTCCTCTGTTCATGTATGAGATTCCACAAGCGCCCAAATGTGGTTGCTGTGCTTGTCACTTTATAGCTAGTTATCTGCATTCTGAACGAGTTGTTGTTTGTGGATATTTTTCTGTTTTCTCTTTTTATCCTGTAATTTATTGTCTTTTCATGTCGATCTAGCCTAAGATCCAGGATGAGTTGCCCATAGCACGAGAAATTGTTATCAACGATGCTGAGGCTTCTCTTAGGCACAGGCTTACTAAACGCTCAACTCAAGAAGAAGTATGTGTGTTTTGCCATGCC